TGGCTCAGTCGGTCAAACATCGGCTCTCCATCTTGGCTCAGGTCATGATCTCACGATGTGTGAGACAGAGCCCCGCGCTGGGCTCTGCACTGACACCATGGAACCTGCTTGGGATTCCCTCCCTCTCCCTCTCTCTCTCTGCTCCCTCTCCCATGCAAATGTGCTCTCTCAAAGTAAGTAACCGAATGTGGAAAAAGAAAAATTCTTCATGTTGTGACAGTTCATTGTGTAGCCACCATCATGGCTGGTGATGGAGGCTGTTGCCACCTGTCTCCAACCACGCGGTGGAGGACAGGAGCGTGTGCCCTGCTCTCGCCCCTGCCCTGCCCCATCGCAGGTGACAGGGCAGCTGCTTTCCCTGGATTTGATCCTGTCCCTCTCCGAGGTGGGCGTCACATCTAAACCGGTACCCTCTCTGGCCACAGATCAAGCACTGTTGGCACTGACAGTCTTCCGTCCGGGTGGCCCATGTCTCCTGTGGCCATCAGCACTGACCCACCATTATCTCGAGAGCCAGGCCCTTTGCCAAAGCTCTGGGAGAAGGGACCCCAGCGGGGTGGGCCCCTTAGGGCGTCTCTGCCTTCAGACAACGGAGGGAACCAGGAGGCAACCCCCTGAGCACTGCTAGCTGATGGACATGCCAGGCAGGGCCCGCTCTGTTCCTGCAGGCCGGCACGGAGCCCCATGTCGGCCCTCTGTGACCAGCGAACCCCCAGCGAAGCTCCGTGCCAGCCCGCAGTGCCACGGGGGTGCCACTGGGCTGTGTGGAGGGGCTCGGCCACTTCCAGGGCTCCCAGAGAGGCACAGCCATGCTGTCGCCAATGGTACACAGTCCTGAAGGCAGCTTGCCGGGGCGGACACGGATCTCTTCCTTTGCGTCGTGGTTTGATAAGAACCTTCTGGAAGTCAAAGGAGCTGACAGGCACAGCATGGCGAGACTATAGCGGAGAACACACAAAGCTACCTGGGACCAGAAACAGTCACTGTCTGTCTTGGCTCAATTTCTCTTTTCTCAACAAAAGAAAAAAAAAAAGAAAAGAAAAAAAAGAAAACAAAATGGAAAAGAAAGCCCTTTAGTCAGTAAGAATAAGAACAATAAAAACCAGTCTCGGCTACATGCCAATGAGAGGCCCCCCTTGAAGAGGGGATTATGGCGTCAGTAGAACACAAGAGCCCAGATCCCCGTGATGTCCAAGGAAGCCACATTTGTGGTCTGGCGGGCCCGCCCCCTCCCGCCAGACCCCCTGGAAGAGTGAGAGATGACCTCTCAGCTCGGATGCTCAGGGCACTGGGGGGTGTCCTGTGCGGTCCCCCGGAAGGCTCAGGCAGGGCCAGCTCCCTGGACGGGAGCCCATGAGGAGCAAGCAGGCTCTCTCGGGCCGGCAGAGAGCTGCAACCTTAACAGCTTTTCTTCTCCAACACCCAGAAACAAGAGCCTTTTCTCACATTTAACGTTTGACCTCGTACTCACACACACCAAAACACAGACCACCCAGTGTGCAATTTCCTCCGCATCCACGCTCACTTATAAAATAATCGAGACAACCCCCATCACCAAGGACCCTACCGCTCAGAGACAAGTGGGGTCGACGTTCTGGAATACATCCTTACAGATCTTTTCCACCTAAATACCGAAAATGATTCACTGGGCTCTCCCTGACTCACTGCCTAAATACTTTTTCGTTTCCAGTGCATTCCCAAGTTTCTCCATCTCCATTCGTGTATTTTTTACACGACTTGTTCAGGTTGCACATTATTTCACCGAGAAGACATCCCCACGAACGGTTCTTCCGGTTTTGCAGACGTGGGATATTCCGACTTTTTGCTCTATAAAGAGCACTGTGTTGAACACCTTCGAAGCCAGGTCTTTGAGGCCCTTTGCTCATCCCCACGGGCTTGGCGCCTGGAGGGCACAGCTGGAGTGTGGGGCGGCCACTTGCTTACGGCTTTTTATGTACGATGCCAAACTGCCCTGTGGGAGTTTCACAGTTCATCATGAGGGTGTGGGTGGTGCACTTCCCGGCACTTGCACCAAAATCGGCTATTTTCGGACTTTCAGACGCCCCATTTCCTCCCCTGTACGTGGGGCCCACGGCCACACCAGCATTTACAGTCATGAGCATCACAGAAGACAAGTGCGGGCCTGGTGGAGACCAGATGTTTACGGAATGGGATCCCGTGACCTCTTTTTCCTCTGCAACTGTCACACTCGGCCTCTCCTTGTTCCCTCTGTCCCTGAATATCTGCTTGGGTGGCGCCCCCCCCAACTCGGGTGGCGCCCCCCACCCCCGCACCAGCCTCCCTTCTCCCGCTGCTCTGTGTCTCACCCCCCACACCTTGGCACTTGAGCGACCTACCTGCTCTCAGAAAGGACTCTTGGCCTCCAATGCACCACATACCACGGAGCCTGTGAGCCACGGAATCGGCCCTTTCCAAGGACTCTAGCTCTATGGCGGAAGCAATCATAGGTGTCTTTCCTAGCGGAGGTTCTAAGAGCTTTCAGATTTTGTGCTTTTAGAATTCTAACTCTAAAGACTTT